CCCCAGCCAGCCATGCTGGCTGGGGAATTCTGGGAATTGAAGTCCACCCATCTTAAAGTTCTCAAGATTGATAAATACCTGGTTAAAGAAAAACTATTTTAAACCCTGATGATCAAGCAAGTGTCTTCTCTACTTTATCAGCCCTTGCATTTCTATAAAGCCTAATACTTTAGCTTGGCATGTAGGACAAAGCCTATCCGTAAGAAGTTATTTGAAGTTTCTAAACTTGCCTGTAAGGATAGGTTTGTGACACCTCTGTCTGTCTGTTTTACTGACCCACATATGAGGCTGGGCAGCTATGCCCCTGCGAGAAGAGCCCCTGAAGGCAGCACCATTGTGGGAAAGTCAAGAGATGTGGGAAAGTTGGCCTTGGGGCACAGGGGAAGATCTCTGACTCTTCTCCTGCCAAAAGGCAAATGGCCCTCAAAATCAGGGACTGGGGCTACCCCACAGTAGCTCAACAGCAACAGAATAGGCTCCCAGCCCTAAAATTAGCTCAGAACGACGCCACAGATTCAACCATTCAGCACTGATTGGGTCCCAAGAAGCTGGAAAAGACTCCTTTTGAACAAGCAAAAAAAGAATGGTGGTGGCTGCCTTCTTGGTGGACTAGGAGCAGCTTGAGGACAACATCATGCTTTCATGTCCTCAAGGAATGCTTAGGAGCTATTTTAGTGCTGGGCAAGCAGGACCTGTGAATGTGCCCTAGACGTGTTGTTGTTTTTTTTAAGTCAAACTTTTCCTAACACCCAAACCCAAAACCTGTCCTTATGGGAGAACCACTTTAACACATTTGGCTGGCTTTGCACAATGCAGGAGACTAGGTTAAAATCATCTTGGGTAGGTTGTGACTCCACACAGGGCACCAGCATGGAGGGTGTCAAAAAAATCAAGGTGGTACAACAAATGTTTAAAAGGAGTTGAGCTTTGATCACACAGTTACATCTACCATCTTGACTTCTTAACACACACACACACACCGTCAGGCACCTCTGGTTCAACATGTTGTGGGAACACAGCCATATTGTGTCCAAAGACATGGGCATACCTCTCATGCAGAAGCACCAATGGGGGCACATTGTACCTAGCCCTAAAAAATCCTTCTCTCAATTTAGAGGAAATAAGAGTATACAAGCAGCTTGCTTGTTCCTAGGAATCTGTATCTAGTAGGATCCTAGAGCTCTGAGAGACTTAGTTAGACTGACACACTATATCACTCAAAGACCTCCACATTTGGCAGCCATAAACGAACGGACAAAGACTGCTTCTTTCAGCCATTAGACTCTCAGAAAGCATTTGCTTTGTAAGGAAAAAGACAGTTCCCTTCCCCAAAGAGCTGCTTCCTACTTTGGGCACAGGAAAAATGGTGAGCTCATCCTAGTGATCAAGGGAGCGTCACACACCATCGTTTGAGGGCCAAGATGTCTACTCTGGACCTCTTCCAGGAGGGAGGACTGTCAATCTTCCCCCCTCCAATTACTCTAATATATCATCCAGTCCTACATCTGCCAAATACAACAAGCCCCTGGAGAGAAGATTAAATACTCTACAAACTGCAAAGTGGCTTGGAACATAAATTTTGATCAGAGTGAAAAAGCACAGCCTGGTTGTAAAAAATCTTTAACAAACTGCTTTGTTTTAGAAACTGCCTGTATGCCTATTAAAACTCTCTTCCAAAATCTCATGCTGTCTGGAAGTTTGGGACTGCAACTCCTATCATCTCTTGCCAGCATTCAAGTAATGAGGGCTACAAACCAAACTTCAACAATTCTTGTTCAACTAATGCCTCTATGTGACCATCTGCTCCCACCCAATTAAATTGAGAACAGCAGACTCCTTGTGGGTTCCCTCTCTTAACAAATGTCATCTACAGGGTTCTCAGAGGTGGCTCTTTCTCCACTGTGCCCCCCCCCCAGAATAGAATCCATCCCCCAGATGATTCCCTCAATCATCTTGACCCAACTGATTGAGGAAAGCAATTAAAACCTGGTTATTTCAACTTTTGAGGGGGAGATGATTTGAGAGGGGTTCCTGCTGTGTTCACATGCGTATCATAGATGGGCAACTTCAAGGGTCCTACTCTCCTTCCTTATAATTAATTATAAGAACTTGATTTGCTCCAGAAAGCCCCTCCTATAAAGGATACCTACAGATGGAGGACTGCTCTGACAAGCCTTCATACAGAGGATCATCCTCTGTAAATAGGGATACCCAGCTGCCCTGCAGCCATTGCCATTCGGTTCTGGACCTGGACTTGCCAAAGCTGGACACTCTCCAAGATCCAACAACCAGGTTTGCTCCGAGGCACCCACCAATTGTGTTTTCCATGGCCACCTTACTCTTAGGCTGTGTTCACATAAAACTTTCTGAACTTGGCTTGGGAGAAAACATGTATTCACACAGCATGCTAAATGTGATTAATGTTAAGCATGTTAGCTTATTTATGGCTTAGTGTGTTTTGAAACCAAGCAGGAAATGGGTTATTTCAGCCATCAGGTTGAGTGTGAATAGGGGCTTGGCTAACTTAAGCACAGTTTACTTTATTCCCGTTTTCTAGACCTACAGAATACATTGAACAATAAACTAATCTCACAGACTGTTTCCAGACAAAATGTTAGGCTAAATGGGATTGACAAGTTTGTGATTTGTGAACAGAGCTATTCTTTCTATCTCCAGAGGCTCAAGTACAAATGTTTTAAAAACTATAACAAAAGTCATATGTAACAGGATCAACTGTTTTATAAGAGCTTAACTTCTGATGTTCATCTCCTGGAAGTGAAACACACCTTCCAGTTTCAACAGGCCTGAAGAAGCATGTCTAACTTTGGGATGGGTGCAAACCTGCTTATTTCCCCACAAAGTGATAGCCACAAATGACAGCTGCAATTAAGATTCCATCCTTGAAACATGGCTCAAACCTTGAAGAGTGAGCCTCAGGGATCTCAGACTCAAATTACAGAGATGTTCCTCGAAGGAAGGCAAAAACCATTTATGCAGGGGCAAAATTATCTTGTAATATTGGTTTTTATGGCAAAAAGCAGCCACTATTATTTTTTTTCTGTTTAGAGAAAGTCCCAACCCCAATTGCCACCATTTCTCTGTAAAACCTATCTAAGGCTTCTTACATCATTTTTTGTTTGATTGTTCAGTAATTTGCTACCAAATCTGGTTCTTCTTAGCCCTGCTGTCCAGTCTTCCATCATACTAAAGGGAGCTTATTTCACAAAGTTTATTGAAACTAAGATATTCATTAAATTTTGAGCAGGTCTTTGTTAACAATTTATAGCATCACCCAAACAGCGTGATGGTCCTTGTTTTACTTCCCATCTCCATGATGATGGCCTAATCTCATCCCCAATCCATGATTTATACAGCTGCTGTTGTCTTCAACCCCCAGTGATGTTGACAGAGGGAGATGTTTGTACAGCTGCTTGCCCATTGGAGTGCAAAGAGACTTATAGATTCTTCTCAAGGGTTCAAACTTCAGGCTTCTTTCTCCTGCCCTTCCCAATTAATGGATACTTGGGAGGTCTTTGGTGGCCTTGAGATGAAGTTACATATCAACTGACTCTAGTGTGGGAACCGCTAGTTCCCGCCTCACCAGCCTCAGCTCTTACACCAACATAATTATGACATTTATTTCCAAAACCAGAGCTATAAATCAGTCACCACACAGGTTTGTAAGCCTTCATAACATATAAGAAGATACCCTCGTTTTGGTTGCCTATGAAGGTTGAAAGTAAACATAAAGCTCTTGAGCTAAGCTTGACACTTGGAAACTACATGGATGCATCCATGTTGTTTTCTTAGAAATCATTCTTCTGGGGTGTTTTTCAACTCTGCATTTTAGTCTATAGCCCTGGCATCTTCTGGTAGTCTCTCATCCAAATACACCCCAAGCCCAACCCTACTTAGCTTCTTCAAGATCAGAGAAGTTGTCACCTGCTGTGACTTTAGAACTGTAGTTTTAAATCATAGAAAATGACAGTTCTATTCTGTTCTGCATTGGTTAAACCTCAACATAAGTACAGTGTCCAGTTCTGGTTACCACACTTTATGAAGGATTCACTTTCTGACAAATTGGAACAAAAGCAAAAGAAGGCAGTGAGGATGATCAGAGGACTGAAAGCTAAGTCCTGTGAAGAGAGGTTGAAGAAGCTGGGTATGTTTCACTTGAGACAAGAAGATGGAGTAGAAATAGGACAGCCTTTTCCCATGTGCAGTCACAGACAGAGAAAGAACATACATTATTTGGTGTGTTACCTTGTTTTCTCTGGATGTGTATTATCTTTTCTGTTATTTCACTGTTCTTCATGTTTCTTTAAAGCAGTGTTTCTCAACCTTGGCCATTTGAAGACGTGTGGACTTCAACTCCCAGGATTCCTGGGAGTTGAAGTCCACACATCTCCAAGTGTGCCACACATCTCCAAGTGGTCAAGACTGAGAAACACTGCTTTAAAGTGCAAGCTACCCAGAGTCATTGGGAGTCAGGCAGCCTTAATTTAATAGAAGATAGATAGATAGATAGATAGATAGATAGATAGATAGATAGATAGATAGATAGATAGATAGATAGATAGATA